AGGAAGGAAGGAAGGAAGGAAGGAAGGAAGGAAGGAAGGAAGGGAGGAGTAACACATTATTTTATTTTTTCTCAAACAGCCTTCCCACCTTGCTGTTCCTTGGCTTTCTCCACCAGACTGTCCCAGAGCCTCAGAGCGGCCGCCATCTTCTCTCCCTGGTACGTCACAACATCTGCACAGAGCACAGGCGAGAGGGTCGGGGAGAGAGAACAGTTTGAGATACGAAGTCAGCTAATGGAGAATTGAACAGGTTTGATTGAAAAGAATAGATTTCGTGGTTTCGCAGAAGGCATGCATTGACTTGGCTTCTCTAAATTAAATAGCTTTAAACAACGATACGATAATATATCTAATAATAATAATAAATATTTCTGATTGTCTAATCTTTGCAAACAAACTGTTTCTCCGGCTAATTGTTTCACTAGCACTAGATTTTTGGAAGTTTTGGTGAAAATCAAGTCAATGCATGCCTTCTGCGGAACCACGAAATCGAAAAATATAAAATATGTGAAGTGCGCTGACAAAATGAGTTACTTCTCCAATTTTAGCCTTATGGAAATTGATACATCAACTTAATAGGTGAAGCTTGTACAATTTGTAAGTATGGAAGAATAAAAGACATAAATCTATAAATCTGACCGGAGTGTCGATTTTCGGTCGATATGTCCATTCTTGGACAGCGGAAAGTAACTCATTTTGTCAGCACACCTCACATATTATGACATAGAAAGTGGGCTGGAAGTCCTGGAGCTTTACATTAGAGCTGTCTATGACTATGACGCATAAACACTTGAATTTCTTTAACTTAAACATGTAAAACATATAATTATCATCTTTCTAATATCGCTGTCCTCACCGTCAAAGAGCGCCGCAACGGCTGTCTCAGAACCGATTCCAGCAGAAGTTTCCTCAATGAGGTCACGGACATCACTGGGGTCAACTGTTGGCAGAGGTCAAGGTCAACATTTTAGTCAATCAACGAACAGATGCATTACTTGTAAATACATGATATTCTTTTAAAGGGAAGGAGGAGGAGCAGGGGG